AAAAAAATCCCAGCCCCCCCCCCACCCCCACATGGGTTTCTGCCTAAGCCAGTCGGACTGTTATTTGTAACTAGAAGATTCCAGGCTAAAGTCCCCCCTCTCCCGCCTCCAGAGGTCAAAGGTCAGCCCCTCTGGCTGGGAGGCCAGGGTCCCCGGTGCCCAGCGGAGGGGCAGTAGCCAGGGGTCCCAGGACCCAGCATGGCCAGGGTCCCTCTGGCAGGAGGGGCACAGAGGGAGATGCCCAGGGCCCGGCCCCAGGCTGTCCTACCTCAAACTTGGGGGGGATGCGGGCTCCAAACCCCAGAGCGGAGAACCTCTTGTCGCTGGAAGAGAGGGGCCCGTCACACAGGGCTCCTGGTTCCGGGTGCGAGTGGGGCTCGCAGAACTCCGTGCCACCCCTTTCCACCCCAGCCAGGCCCCGAGCCAACCTGGGGGAACGGGGCACGGTGCAGGCAGGTGGGGACAGAGCCACCGGGCCCCCTCCTCCCACCGCTGCTCAGGCCTGGCACCTGCTGGGGAGGCACCTGCTGGGGAGGCACCTGCTGGGGAGGTTGGCTCCCTGCCCCCTGGACCCCAGACAGGAGCTTGTCCCTCCATGGCCTCAGTTTACTGCTCTGTGAAGCGGACGCAGGCCCCGCCCCGTGTCTGTGTGAAGGGCGAATGGGACCCTGTGGTGAAGGCCCTCCCCACGTGGACACACGGTCTCTGACCCGCTCCACCTGGATCCACAACGTGGCCCGTGCACGCCGGGCCTGGGCGGCTGCTCTGATGGGTGGACACGTCGGTGATGCCCATCCCCTGGCCCAGGCCGAAGCAGGAGCGGGGGGGCGGGGGGGGGGCGCGGCCAGAGGACGCACCTGTCGTAGTCCTGGCAGACCTCACCCACGGCCACCAGGGCCTGCAGGTACTCGTTGGGCTGGAAGGGGCTGATGTAGTGCAGGGAGCAGCTGTTCCGGGGGTCCCCGTTGGAGGCTGTGAAGTCGATGGCCACCTGTGGGGTCCCCATGGTGATCCCGGAGCCCCTTCCCTCCTGGCCTGGGATCGCTCCTGCACCCCTCATTTGACAGGTGCAGGAAACCGAGGCTCAGGGAGCCACTCAGCCAGGGGCGTCTCAGAGCGGCTCCCGGTGCCTTGGGAGGGGTCCTATGGGGACACCGGTCGGTGCCTCCTGCACCCAGAGGCACCCCTTTGGTTGGACGCGTGGGCCAGGCAGTGGGAAGGGCTGGGCCGGGACCAGGCACCTCTCAGCTGCCACCCTCCCCACCACCCTCTCCGGGAGCCAGCCCCGCCGCGGGCCCCATGCGTGGGCTCAGTCACACCCTCAGGTGAGTCTGGGTCGTTCAGTGAAGTGATGGATGGAGACGGGGGTAGGGGGGTGGGGGAGGGGAATGGGCTCTTCAGGGCCACACCGGCCTGCTGTGACCCCGTGTCCCTCTGAGTCAATGGCCCTGTGTCCTCTCCTCACGTATTTCATCTGTTCCTATTGGGGGTGATTCCTGGCCACGTCCCCCCTGAGTTGCCCGGTTCCCCTGTCCAGCAAGGGGACCCCAGGAAAAGGCCCAGAAAGAACTGAGCTCCCAGGACGGGGTCCCCAGGCCCAGCAGGAGGGCCTGGCTGTCCCCACGTCCGTCCTGGGAGCCAGACCAACTCTGAGCTGCATCCGGGTCGGGAGGGCCCCCCGGGAGCTGCGGGCCTGGGTGCTGACTCCTGCCCGGTGGGTGCACCTGGCCGGCCGGGGGGAGGGGCCCTGGGTCCTGTGGACGCACCGTGAAGTGGATCTGGCAGCCGCCCATGATGTAGTCCAGGAAGGAGTAGACCCTGGAGAACTTCCAGGCAGCGGGGTCAGCAGGGCCTGCCCAGGACACCCGCCCACGGGAACCTGAGGCTGGGGCTGCGGGCGGGCGGACAGGCAGGGCAGTCCCCCTTCCCCAGGCCCTTGGCTGCCTGAGTGCCCAGCACCTGTTCCTCTTTTCCTTCTGCCTCGCCCTCCCCTCCGCCCACCACTTCCTCCCCCACCTATTGGGGAGCACCAGGCATTGCCAAGGCCCCGAGGGTCCATCGACAGTGGGGGCTTCGGGGGTGGGGTGCCCTTGCCTGGCAGGTGGGCGGGGCTGCGGGTGGGGGCTGCGTTCACCTTCAGGTCGGCCAGGATGACCAGCCCCGAGTTCCTGTAATGGCGCTTCTTCTGCTTGTACTTGGCATTCACGCATTCCCACTGGGCCTGGGCACAGGGACGGGCAGAGACCCCCCCACCCCCCAGAGTGCCAGTGCCAACACCCACCCCGAGGGCTGGGGGCTGAACGCCGAGCCCTGGCCGGGGAACTGTCCCT